CCCTGTCCCAATCTAATGGTAGGGCAGCTAGCAGCAAGCTAGATGCTAGCTGCCCCACTGGTGGATTGAGGCAGGGGGTTGGGATCTGCCTCATGGCTGCAGCTCTTTCCAAGTTCCCTGCCCCTGATCAGGAAGCCAGGGCCAGGAGCTCCCTGCTGCTGGGGCAGGGGGATATTGTCTCTGCCCCAGCAGCAGGCAGTCCCTGGGGGCAGGGAGCAATGTGCCAGCTCTGGCCAGGATACAGCTGTCTCCTGGCTCAGTGCTCCCTGCCAGCCTCTGGGCTAGCACCCAGGGGGGATCTAGAGCTCCACCTGATTGTGGCAGAGGCCCACTGCAGGGCCTCAGGAAGTGGGAGCTGTTTTCTGCAGGGGAAGCACTGTGACCACATAGGCGGGCTCCCCAGGGCAGGTGATTATCTCTAATATGTCCTCCATAGGAGGTCTATATTGAGCAGATTTTTTTTTTGGTATTGGGTGGTGGAACTGGAGCTTGCTCCATCCACTCCATGCATTGACCTGGTATTGCAGTGCTTCCAGGACTGGTGCAAAAAAACAGACCAAAAAAAAAAAAAAAAGTTTTCTGCATTAGCAGCAAATCTGCTCCTGTTTCTCTGCATGTGTAAATACCTACCTGGGAGCATTTACTTGCAAGTAGTTTACTTATGAGTAAACTGCTCCTGGATCTAATGCACATGTGGATACACCCTGAGTGCTGCAGAGATTAGGAGTATTTTTGTGCAGAGTATGTATGTTGTGTCTATAATTCACAGAACAGTGTTGTCTAGTTACCTTGCTTTCCATAAGAAGCAGGATGGTCCACTGGGTAGGACTCTAGAATGGGAGTCAAGACAGTTGTGTGTGGTATTCTCATGCGTGGGGAGGAAGTCACTTCTCTGTTTCCCTTTCTGCCTTGTCTGTTAACAATGTAAGCACTTTGTAGGACTGTTTCTTACTATATGTTTGTACAGAATCTAGCATACTGAAGCCTTAGTGTTCTTTGGATGGTACTGGGTCCATACACATGTGCAATTAGCACATAGCAATAAACTCTGGTGCAGCGCACGCCAGAGTTTATTGCTCCCAGGCGCAGAGTTTACGTGTCAGCCTGGGACTGCAGCACATTGAATTAGGGAGGGGCAGCCCCAGCAGGTAGGGATCCGGAGGGATTAGCCTGCCAACCTGGGGCTGTTCTGCTCCAGTTCAACATGCTGCAGAGGAGCTGGCTGGGGCATGAGGGTGTTACAGTGTGGGGCTAGCCAGCAGGCAGCCCCCTCATTGTTGCACCCTTGTGCCCTAGCCAGTCCTGATTACCATCTACATGTTTGTTTTGGTGCATGTAACTACTTTGTTGTAGGACAGTACTTGCCCTGGACAGTACTATCCTACAGTGGAGCTAATTAATTTACTGTGCCCTAATACAGGCATGCATGTAGCTGGTGACACTTTACTGTGGAGCTAATTAGTCAGCTCCGCAGTAAAGTGCACATGTAGGTGTACCCACTGTATGACAAACAGATGCTGCATCCTTCTGAACACACATAACCCTCAAATTTAAGAATGAACATATGTTTTCTGAATAGAGTTATTCATCCACACTACTCAGCACTGGTGAGGCCTCACCTTGAGTACTCAATCCAGTTTTGGGCATTACACATCAAGAAAGATGTAGACAAACTGGGAAGAGTTTAGCAGAGAGTAACAAAAATGATTAGTGGCCTAGGAAACATGACTCACAAAGAAAGGTTGGAAAAACTGGGATTATTTAATTTGGAGAAAAGCAGACTGATGGAAGGATTTGATAACAAACTTCATATATATAAAGGGTGGTTATAAAGAGGATGGTGATAGACTCTGTGGCTGCCAGGGAGAACAGGACATAAAATAACTATCTTAAATTGCAACAAGGGAAACTTAGGCTATATATTAGGAAGAATTTTCTAACGAGGATGATGCTTAAGCAATGGAACAGATTACTTTGAGAGTTTGTGGACTCCCCATTCTTTGAAGCATTTAAGAACAAGTTAGAAAAACATGTGGATGAGGTGGTTTAGATGGGCATGATCTTGCCTTGAACAGAGGGTTGGACTAGATGACCTCATGAAGTCCCTTGCAGACCCCTCATTTCTTTTCTTTTCTTTTTTTTGGTGATGATTCTATGGCTCTCAATTTAAGAACAAACAAATAAAGAAAAAGCAAAAAACTTTAAAAAAGCATTAAAAACCACATATTTACATTTAAGAGCTGCCGTAAAACATGGCACCCCCAGTTCTTTGTAGTGAAATGCTATATATATAACAGGGCAAATCTTTCCTGTTCATCCTCTAAGACTGAGGAGTCTTCTTTATCACTTGATAGTTCTCAGACAACATCGTTTTCTATTTCATGGAGATGGAGATACAACATTTTCTAAAGGAACACCTTGCAGGCTATGTTGTCAGTGAATTTCATGCCTTAAAAATCCATTCACCCAGGATTGGAAGAGGTACAAGAAGCATTTGTCCAGTTGCCATCAGCTGGTTTTTGCCATTCACAAGTCTTTTGTGATAAAGATTTTTAAGTGATATCTTTAAAAGGCTTATTTGCACAGATCTACAATAGCTGAAGTTGTGATGTCATTATACCTGGGATAACAGGCAGGTTTGTTTTGTGGTCATTAAATACATCAGTTGTGTGTCCTTTGTAAGCATCCATCACAAGCACAGAATTCAGCTTTACCAGGGACTCAGACTGCTGAAACAATACTTTTTGAATCCAATCTAACATAAGCTCCTTTGTCATCCATTCTTTTACCTGTAGTTGAACAAAAGTTCCTTTTGGGAAATTTTCCCTTGGCCAGCTTTTGTGCTCAAAGATAACATACAAAGGTTGTTTATGGCTGTCTGCTGTCACAGACAGCATTATAGTTATCTGCTGCTTTTCATTCCCTTTTGTGATCCCTCATACCTGTTTTTTTCCCATTTTGTGAACTATGGTATTGCTCAGCACGTTGAAAAATACGGAAGCCTGGTCAGCATTTTGGATATGTCCAGGCTGGTACTGTTAGATGACAATATATAAATAATAAAACACTTAAACTATAAAAGTTTCTCTTTAAATTGTTTAGGAGGCTTCTGACATACAGAGGTTTGCCTGTGTAATGAGAAGCCTTGCCACTTCATAAATCTCTGCACCCAATCCAAACTTGAATTAAATTGTGAATGTACTATGCCAGCTGCATGTGCCACCTCACCAGCTTTTACACAAATCACTTCCTGATGTACAGGAAGGCCAGAACTTAATTGTCCAATTAGAAAATCACTGACACTTCCCTATTTGTGGGAACCCATGCTTTGGTCTGCTGAATCCTTTACATTTTTTTTTAATTTAGAAAGTTTTGATTTTAATAGTCTCAATTTCCTGACACAGCTTCATTAACAATATACTTCTTTCCTGCTACTTTATTCCCATTTAGGGTTTTTTTTGCAAATTTTGCAATTTTAGTATAAAACAAGCTGACAATGATCTATGACTCCCAACTGGTTCTAAAATGGCTGACTGTATGTCACAGCTTATTTGAGATTGGGAAGTCAGATTCCATTTTGTGTGTCTTGTGGCATTCATAGCCCTTTTCACTGTAATCTCTGCACTGTATTTATTTTATTGTAATTATTTAATAATCACATTGGATTATTTACTACAATTACTCTTTTTACTCCTCCTTTCTTTTTTGTACTGCTTTTACTTATATTTTAGATACAAGTCATTTTTAGAAGAAATATTTCCGTATTTATAAAACAAAATATGCTATTAACAGCAGCAATAATAATTCACAAGTAACATGTACAGTTTTATAAACTTCATATTCAATACATCAGTATTTTCATTGCAGAATTTTAGTGGATCAGTTGCTTTCTGAAGAATTTGTTTTAATTTTGTCATTTTTTATTGACAAGCACAGAATCGTGGGTCACATGCCAGTTGAATAATCTGATTTACTGAACATTGGCACATCTATTAGTAACTTGTCCATAATGGGTTCAGAATGCTTCTGCATAGGAAGAATTGCTCAAATGAAAATACAGAATGAGCTTCTGAACTATTCGTTCCATTACTGGCGACTCTAGGCAAAACTTTTTCCCTTTTAGTACAACAGGGGAGGTTAAACTTCTCAGTCTGCCAGTCAGGTTTTATTTCTGTAATAATACAGAATATATATATTCTGTGCTTAATAATAGAATGTGCTAATCTACTGACACATAATATTTGCTTGTAGTGAGAGTTTGATGTGATCTAACAAATGAAACTCAATTCCACTAAAAATTAATCTCCAAGGAGGAAGTAGGCGGAATATGGAGAATACAACAAGCTGAATCGTTAGTAAATAATTTTCTCCTATAGTACCTCATCACAAAAGCAAGCACCTGCATGGAGAGTGCTCTTGGCATGTAAGTGAACTTAAGATGGAGATGAGCTTAACTTATAATGCAGCCCCCAGAACACTACTGTCGAAGGCCATATCCACTGAGGCGGACAAATCCAATTTGTGCTCCCATGTGAAGGTGAGTGAAGTCTAACTTGCAACGTTGATGTTTTCCCATGAAAGAAATGCTGGCCCTATTTGCTCATCGGGTAAATATTGCTCAATGGAAATGACACTTTACAGATCTCTGGTGATTTGCTGAGCATCCAGTGAATGAAATTTTGATTGCACATAGAAGTAATTCATTGGAAAACTGTGATCTGCTGGTTGATATAATAAACGCTTTGCATTTTTATAGTATTACCCATCTTGAGGTCTGAAAACATTACACAAACCTTACAATTACAGTTCTTAATGCCTGTGAGTAAGCTGCATTTCAGTTCTTCTACTGTGCAGACAGAAAGAATAAGGAAGAGAGAGGTTAAGTGACCTAGCCAAAGTAACACAAGTGTGTGCTATAGGCAGGAGAGTATTTAAGCTACGAACCTAAGTAACTGTTGAAACAAATCTATTTTTATTTGCAGCCAAAAAGGGCAACTTACAATAGTTAACAGGCTCTTCATCTTCTCTGGTTTGCTTACTCTGCATCGACTCACTATCTTCAAATTCTCTGGTACCATCAGAGGGAGCTGTGTTCACATTGGCATAGTCTTCAGAGCTGGGGACAAGGGAAGGTGTGCTGCCAGGAGGTGTTCGGCTGTGGGAAGATGATGGACCACTAAGCCGAGAGATGCTTATGACAGATGTTCGCTTGTTTGTCTTCCTGCTAAGCTGAATACGTGGTGCTTTCTGGCTGGATTTCTTGCACAGAAGGAAGAAGGAAAAGAAAGGAGGGGATTTCTGTGACAATGTCTGATAGGGATGGTACACTGTATTTCCGTATCTCATTTCAATACTGGAGTCCTCCAGGGGTTTTTGTACCCCACAGTTTGCAGTAGTGAATTCAAATAGCTAGTCAAGCTACTCACTGAGAAGTCTCCTTCCCTGGTTATGGCTTTGATATTAATGAACCAATATAATTTGTAAACAAGTAGCACTGAATCTTCACAGAGGTTTGAAATTAAAGAAATCCTTAACTTTTTCACCTCTGAGGAGAAAAAGGGTCAACGCTGTGGTGATAAATGTTCAAGCCTCCTCCTCCCTCCCTACCACATATCCTGAGAAATGAATTTCCTGTGTCAGAAATATGAAACCTCAGCAGACTGAAATCTGTAGGCTTGATAATCAGAACAGTATGTCTCACATGGCAAATACCCCTGCAGGGATCCAGATCTCGATCAAAGGCTTCATATCAAATATAAAACACCATGTTTAAATAATGTTCAAATAAATGACAACAGCAAGGAAATTCTGTCATTAATTCAGGTGGGAAGAAAAACAACACACACAGCAACTTGACTGCATGAAGACACATCAGCTTCAGCACTACTTTGGATTTTTTGGCTTTTGATGATTTGAAACCTAACTTTAAAAAAATAGACACCACCTGGAAACCCTTCTATTTAGAAAAATCTCCAACTATTATACGACTTGCTGAGTGATGTCTCCCCTCTCTTTTCTCCTACCATAAAGGATATTTGCATGAAAACATGAACTTTGTCTTTTTAGATGTTCAGGAACATTTGGTACTCACTGGTTTGCTTACTCTGAAATCTTATTCCTCTGCTTATCAGATCATATTTACTAGCTGTGATGTCACATATGACAAACTTTCAGGTGTGGAATAGGAGCAGATGAAGCCCATGGGATGATATTTCAGATTCTAAAGAAACTTTCATTCCAAGTTGTGAATTATGTCTAGGAGGTATTCTTTTGGGGCAAGGTAAGGAATAGGAAAGTTAAGTAATTTGTTGAAGGACACACTATATAGCCAATACAAAACCAGGAACAGAATCTAAATGTCCTGTTTCCAAGTCCCCTGATCTAATCCCTAGCCAACTCTAACTCCCTTTGTTTTAATGCAAATACGCTTGTAATTAAAAAAAAGTGAGAGAATTCTTACCATTGCCTCAAGAAATATGGGTTATCTCAGCAGAACAGTACCAGAGGTTTCCAGTATGCTGCCTTTAGTTAATTTGAAGTTGTCTTTTATAGTTTCATTTCTTCTCAGTTAATGATTTAATTTTTCTTTGTTTACAAAGCCCTTCAGCTAAATGGCTCTATTTTCTCTTTCCCTTTGCTTTCCCCTGGATTTCTACTACTTGTACTGGCTTTGGCACTTGGATTTTATTTTCCAAGGTAATTATTAAGTTTTAATTAAGGGAAAAAAAAGCCAGGCAACTCCAGGAAGTTGCCAGGATGAGACTCCTAAAACGAACAAACAAACTAGAACTCGATGGTCAAAATCTCACTTTACTGAGTAACTCTCAAACCCTCTTCAGTGCCTACTGGGGTAAGGACTAATTATTAGAGATTGGATTAGTTGGGTTGAGTCTCCTGGTAGTAAGATATGGAGCAAATACAAGAAAGAGGCTAATATTTTCAGGTACCCACAAGTATTTTTTAACAATATGTTTTCCCCCAACAACATCACTACTTCATAAGTTGACACCACAGCTTCAGTCCTATAAATAGCCAAATATTGGTCTTCCTGTTATCCATTGTCAAAATACTTTTTCTTTAAAATCCAGATAGCCAAGTATCAAGAGGTCACAAGTTCCAGAACATAAAAGATCAAATCAGGGAGTAACATTAGGGAACAAAACAGAGAAAACAAATATTCTGAAAGTTAGACTTGGTCATAAAGCAGAAATTAGCAATGAAGTTACCTTTGTGTCCACGATAAAGTGCTCCCATCTGTACCTTGCTGTCTTTTCCTTATTGATTTTTTTTAATGTACTTTTACTGCCACCAGGGTCCCTAAGTGAAAAACAATTTAATGAGTTTTCCATTTCCAGAATCTTGGTTTTATTACAACACGTTCTTTTTAGAAATGCAATAAATAGAGAATAAATGGTGGCCGATCTCTGCTATGACATTTATCTTCACTTGTAAGGAGGGGAGTGATAACTCACAAGTGTTATAGCTCTGAGTGACTGATAGTCAAAAATGAAGAAAAATATTAAGAAAGCTGAACTTGTGTACTACAAACATACCACAGATTCATTAGGCCATATTATGTTCTCAGCTGTGTCCATGCATTCCTATTTCCAGATATTTTAAGGCAGTGCAGAAAATGGTCCAAAGTGATTTAACTTCATCGATGAAACTAATGGCAAATTTGGTTTAAGACAGGTGGAGCTTATACTGGTACCAATATTTAAGGTCACCCAAAACCCCTTATAAGACTCAGTTGCCTATAACTTTGCCAAACCTTAATTCTTTGGGCTGAACCATTCCTTGCAGTGTATCTGCTTCAGATCAACTTTTTAAAAAAGCCAAAAGTTGTGAAGATACATATGGGCAGGGGGGACAGCATCCAGAGGGAGTTGCATAGGAGAAGAGGAGGATAGGAAAGGAGCCACATCAGATACAAGCAGGTACAAGCAGAAGGGGGCATATACTTTTGGGGTACAGGAAACAGAGCTGGAATTGATCCCAAGAGTCCTGAATCGCTATATTCCTTTCCTGTCTGTAAAACCTGCTTACAAGTATGTGCATCTCTACCCCACGGTCTCTTGCCTGGTTTATGCTCCACGGGTGAATATTTTGGATGAATCTTCCCTTTCCAACCCACCTACCTAAATGTCTTCAAGGCTATTCTGTCATCTCTACTGTATATAAAGCAGAATACTTATTTGTATCATTGGGATTTCTGATCATGCAGGGAGAAAAAACAGAACAGCCTTGAAGAGGCTGCTCTGTGGAATCAGAGAATATAATTTAATTCATGACTATTGTTCTGTTTGATGTTCAGGTATACAGTTAGCAAAACATCTTGAATAATGCAAACACATTTACATTCAACATTGTTACACCTATAGGTTGAAAATGCAAAAAATTAAAACAGTATCTCCTACTGATTATGCAACAATATAAAGGTTCTGATGTAATTTCTTTGTTTAAAAATACCATTGTTTTCATAAACAGCTGATAAAAAATAGCTAATAAATAGATAACAAACATTCTATTATAAACACAGTGCATGTGAAATTCCTTTTCCTTTCATTGGGACAGCTATGCAAGGAAAGCTGCAGTCATGTCATTATTACATATATTAATTTGCATAATTTAAAAAAAGTACATTTGGTTTGGAAAACACAAGGTACTTTCAGTTAATGCTGCAGGGTATAATAATGGAGGGCCATGCTGTGTCACTGATTCTTACATCTCCCCACTGATTCCAACAGGAAATTCTGTGCAAAATTTGGCAGGGATGTGTGGCCCAGAAGCAGTAATAATGTCACTCAATTTTTACATAACAGAAGAGAGAAAAATAACAACATTTCAAATTTAAAAAGTCTCATCCCATCAAAAACTTCAGGCAATGCACACATACTTTGGATTCCAGCAGGTTAACACAGATTTTATAGAGCAGTTAGTTTCAAGAGTCAAAGCTTCCAAAAGCCAGTGTAAAGCGCATAGTTGTCGAAAAAGGGGTTCACTGTGAAAATGAAGAAAAAACAAACATGCTGTACTGCAAAGTTGAGAGAAGGAATACTTAGATAATTTCATACAAAGTAAATTTTTGGCAGACAAGAAATAACAACAATGATCTTGGGAATAAATACAGACTAAATTAATAGCACGGATCATGGTTGCTATTGGGAAGAAAGACCACATACACCTGTATTCTGTGAAGACAGCATCTTACACTGAACAATGCTCCTGGATTCTTCTACCTTTCTATGCATTGAATTAGGAATCCTTGCTCAGTTTCCAGAACATGTTTCCCCGTCTTGTGCATTAAAGCAACTTGCAATCTCGGTGTGGAAATATACAGTAACGTAAGTACAAACTATCACTTTCTTATGACTGCAGGGAAATGACCCAACTAGAGAAAAAGAGGAAGGTAAGTGATGGATGTTATTAGCAGAAGCAGTCAGATCTCATATGCTTTGGAGGATTTTTCCCTACTCTCCCCACAGTTCAAGACAGCATTTAAACTTTAACAGAATCTCCCCTCTTTTGTACAGTCTCTGCATTTCCTTTTACTCTCCCTAGTTCTCTTTACACTTGTGAACACTGGGATGCAAGAGTCCTGGAAGGTCTATCTTCTG